AAATGCCAAATCCAGTCTGAAAATCTGAACATCTGGCTGACTGTGCGATGAATGATAATAATAAACCACAGGAGTTCATAAAGAAAATGTTATATTTCCCTGTACAGATTTGATATTATATACCCAATTCCATACCTTATGCATTGTCTCTCTGAGGATGGTGTTAGACAGAAAACTGAAATCAACAACTTGGCGTAAATTCCTGGCTAGATGTATTTGCTTCGTTTCTGAGAAATAGAAGGTTTTCCAAAACAAAGCTAAACTAAATTAGTAGGAACGAACTTTTGTGTAATATGGAACCCTCCTCTGTCTAAAGGTATCCTTTGGCAGTACCCTTCCCCCAGCAAATATTTGGCTACTAGTTGTGATGATTGAATCCAAAGCTGCTTCTGTGTAAGTTGTCATGGTACTGTCAAGTTTTCTTCTTTTATTTAATGAAGGAGCACCATCTGGTAATTGCAGATAATTAAAATGAGAATGTACAGAGGAAGGTGTTGATGTCACTCTTTTGATGAATAAATCAAAAGCTGTTTATGTCAATCTTTTGATGAATAAATCACAATTCTTTTAAAGTGGCTTTTACTAAACTTGTTGGGCTTGGATATGTTCAAGGAAACCTGGATTTAAATCCATTTCTAAACCCTTGCAACCAAAATATGATTGTTTATGTGTTTTAAAATAATTGTTCCATGTTATTTGACTTCAATCTGTATTAAACTAGGGTTGGTGAAATGTATTTAATTCACATTTTAAGATAAGCACATCTGAGTCTAATATGCAAATTGGAAATTAAGATTCGCCCTCAACTTTTACACTGGCGTTCTCAAGACATGTGTGCTTGCGTGTATATATAACACACCCACACACATCATAATTTAGTACACATCGCACTCAGACACCCACACATAGAGCCTATATATTAAAAGAAAAATGTATACAACATGGGGAAATGTGGTTGTACAGATCCTACTGTGCTCAGCAAAAGTATGCAGATATAGAAGAACGCTGCTCTGTGGAATAGAATACAGAATGCAGAATGACAGAGTTGATTCAGAGTTGGCAACCATTTGTTTTCCTTCATTTAGTCCACACAATTTTAAGACTGGAACAGCTTGGGGATTTTGCATGTTTTCGTTTTAAGATATTGGATGCTTTTCCTGTCCAGTAATGTGAACTTGTCAGTTACAGAAAAGGTGATAGTGCCACAAATATTCTGTATGGATTAAGATTGTGGTACTCGGTTTTCTTATGGAATGTGACAAAGAGCAACAAAATAAGAACGCCTAGATAGGTTATATTGGTGAATGCCATGTAATGAAGTTACAGTCATATCCAATATTATAGGTTATCACTGCCCTACTGATAAATTCCTCTAGATGCCCATGATAAAATGATGTACAGGTAGTCCCTGACTTACAACTATTTATTCCGTGACTGTTCCAAGATATAGCGGCATTGAACAAAGGGACTTATGACTCTTCCCAAAACTATGGCCATTGCAGCATCCCCATGGACATGTGATCAAAATGTGAGGTGTTTGGTGGCCCACACACGTTTACAACTGCAGGGGCACTTCAACCTCTCCAATCCTATCTCCCCCCCCTTAGGGTCTCCTGCACTCTACAACCCTATTGTGCTGACCTTTGCCATCTTCTTTCTCTCATTGCTGACCAAGAGTGCCCACGCTGGCCCTTCATGAGGCAGTTGCTGGCCACATAAGACATTGCTTATGCGGCCATCACAAACAGCCATGGAAGCAAGAACACTTAGAGCTGAGTGTGGAGTGCAGGGTAGGGAGGGCAGCTGGGACTGGGACTGTGCTGGGATAGTGGCAGCCTTCTGGGCTGGCATGAAGCCCCTTTGTGCCACTCGGCTGGGAGAGACGGGGGCTGAGCTACATGCTGCACTGTAAATCAGGAGCTTCCAGTATGCTGTAGTTTTCTGAGGTGTGGTGGCTTTGTGCTATGTTGCTGGACCAGGCTGGAGTGGCTGTCGTTTCCCAGAGCCACAGTGCATCAAGAAACCCCTGAGCCTCAGCATACTCTTTCCCTGGCCTCCCTGAACTGATGCCATGCTGCATTGCATCCAAACTTGTGCAAAGTCTGCACCAGACCTCCCAAAACCTTTCCCATCCTTCCTGCAGCACCCCCAATCTCCTTACCTGGGACTCCTCCCGCTTCTTGCGTAATGGCCCTTATGTCTGGAATTTTGACAGCAAGCAGGACTGCCAGGATTACTGTCATTAAGCAATGCAGTCACATGACATTGTGCCTTTTTGTTTATTATTATTTTTATAAATTACCCAAGGCAGCAAACATACCTAATGCTCCTTCCTTTTTTTTTATTTTCCCCACAAAAAACTGTGAGGTGAGTGGAGCGAGAGAGAACAACTAGCCCAAAGTCACCCAGCTGGTTTTCACACCTAAGGCAGGACTAGAACTCACGGTCTTCTGCTTTCTTAGCTTGGTGCCTTAACCACTAGATCAAACTGATCTGGTCAAAACTTTACAGCTGCATTGCTTAGTGACAGAAATGCCAGTCTCAATTGTGGTTGTAAGTTGAGGAATATCTGTCAGCATGATTGATGGGTGGTGAATGACTTAATAGTGGTGTGTGTTGGGGGGGGGGGGCTTTGATCAAGAAAACAGAACAAGGGAAGGATTAACCTTCCATACGCTTCCAGTAATCCTGCCCCAATCAATCTAAAGCAGTGGTTCTCAACCTGTGGGTCGGGACCCCATTTGGGGTCGAACGACCATTTCACGGGGGTCGCCAAACAACGCAGTCTGCCATTTTTTTCCCCTTTTCCTTAGCTGTGCTACTCCCTTTTATTCTACTGGCTTTTGAAAGCCAATAGAATAGACTCTCTTGAATAGAGTCTAATTCTATTGGCTTTCAAAAGCCAATAGGAATTGTCCAGGCTGTCTCTGCCCTGCTGAGCCCGCCAAAAGTCCCATTCTGCAAACGGTGCTGCATCAGTTGAGTAGTCCTCGACTTACGACTGGTTGAGTAGTCCTCGACTTACAACCGGGTGGGGGTCGCGGCACTAAAAAGGTTGAGAACCACTGATCTAAAGCCTCCAGAGTCTGCTCTAAAGAAAAATGTCACATCTCTCCTGTGTCACATACAGGATAGCCTTACACTTCTTATTTGTATTACATGTTGACATTTTGATGGTAGTTGCAAATTCTCCCTTGTGTCAACATCAGAAATAGTCAGTCCCAGGCTTCTACTGCCATGTTCAACCTATGTTTACACAGAACAGATCTCCTAGAAATGATGGCAATGTTTGTTAGGTTTCTTTAATCTCCTAAATTGTGCTCCCTAGTGTGGCCAAGTCCATGATTATGATATAGAAGTTTGATACTTTGTACAAGCCACCTGAGGTCTTGATTTTTTTTTTCTGCTGTGAAGTTTTTATTATTATTTTTTTGAAAAATTGTAAGTCATTAGATTTCCTGCTGGCAATGACTAAACGTTAAGCTTAAGAGTGCTGTGAGGGATGCTATTTCATATTTGGAGAGAGAACATTTATCCTAGCATTTGAGAATTATTTTTCCTATTGCCTTCCTATATACCAAAAAACAGGATTATCAATCCAGTCTTCCACTGCAGAGTAATAAAGTTGGCCAAATATTTATGCAGAGAAAGTAAAAGAAAAAAAAACCCTTTGCTTAATAAGTTTTTATTATTATTATTATTTTGCTATGAAACTGCTACTGCCTGTTTCGTACTGCCTTTGAAAAAATTTCTGTGGTGTCTAGATGTTAAATGTCTAGTGAAGCAATACCTCCCTGAGGGGAAGGATACATACAGCATTTCTGCTATTTCATGATTTTATATTGTGTATGTATGTTGAAAGAAATCCCATTGTCTTCAGAAAATTCACCTTTTTTCATTTCTTTTATCTTCATGGTTGCAGAGTTCCTGTCAAATTGTCTTAGATCCATCTTGAAATATAGCTGTTTGCTTCAAGCTTTCAAGAAACTGCCCATCTCTCTCACAGAGTGACTGATATTTAAGCATATATTCAAGACATTTTTAAATGAAAGGACAACTTAGGTATCTTATATGTAGCTAAGGATTTAGTATTTGTGAAATATACTTTTTAAAATTTTTGCTGTGGTGTGATTGATGATGATGTTAAATCAAAAACAAACAAGCCATAGTAGCACAGAAATCCACTGTTTTCATCAGTTGCATCAAACTTTGCCTGTTGGGGTTGAGGCTATACTCCTGAAGTGGAGCAGGACTCATTTTTCATTGAGTTTAAGGGAGTCAGTAGTAATTATCTCCTTTAGTTGTACAACTGTAGCTGACTCAAGTGCCTTTTCAGGATACACAAAGAACGATAAGTGAGTTTGTTTCTGTAGTGCTCTTGTTACATTGTCAGGTGGACTCCTCTTAATATTATCTCAAAATAAAATCAAATTCTGTGATGTGAAATAACCAGGGTAATTTTCCACATCTTAAAACACAGCAGGTAGGATTTAGTCGTGACTAAGTTAAGCTTCATTGATTCCTGTGGATCACTTGAGCTGTAAGCAGGACTAAGCCTGCAAGAATCTACTGTGCTGCTTTCTATATTAAACTAATACATGCAATAATAAGTGAAAATTAGTGTGGATAAAAGGTTTGAGCTGTGAGCACAACAGCCTCAAAGGTATTGCATCTAATGTGATCATTTAGTTTCCCAATGAAATTGATGAAACGTAAGTTTTTATCTGTGCGGTTCCATTTCACTGATTTCAGTGGGATTTGCAATATAATTTTACACTCTTTTCTACTCCAAAATAAAGGCAATGAAGTCCAGGGAAACTTATTTTCAAGCAAATATGTTAAGTCTTTTTTAGGGATTTTTAACATGTACTCACAGAATTTTTCTTATGCCTAACCAGGTGGGAAATTCAAATATTTTCATAATTTATCAGATTGAGTCCAGCGATACAGATACCTTGATTATATTTCTGTTGTTTCTTTTGTGTGTGTGGTATGTGTAGTTTTTGAAGAGCCTGAAGATCCAAGTAACAGATCTTTTTTTTCGGAGATCATCTCTTCAATTTCTGACGTAAAGTTCAGCCATACTGGGAGATACATCATGACCAGGGATTATCTCACTGTCAAGGTGTGGGATCTAAATATGGAGAACAGACCTATTGAGACATATCAGGTATTTTATCTTGATCCTTTGTTTTTGGGGATGTGAATGAATGGTGTAGGTCACGGGTGTCAAACTTGATTGCATCGTGTAACGTATTGTGATGTTTTTTGCCTTTGCGGAGTCGGGGTGGGCGTGGCCTACACGTGATGCATCCAGCCCGCAGGCCACTAATTTGACACCCCTGGTGTAGGTGTTAAATACAGTGTGTGAGAGTGTGGCTATTTTCCCAAGCATTCGTTAAATGCTTCAAAACCATTTATTTTTACATGTATTCATTTATTACTGCTGTGAGATCTTGGAGTTGGCCAACACATAATTTACTGGTTTCAATTATATTGCTAATGCAGTTAAAAAAAAAAACCCAGACTCTTGGTGCTTTTTAGTAGTAAGAACAACAGAAAACAAAACACTGAAATTAAAACATCCATGGCAGAAGCTAAGATAAAATAACTGTTGCTAATCACTTCAGACTCTTGTCCTCTGGAATCTGTGAGCAGAGCTTGAATCGAACTTTAGCATGGCTTTCTTTCCGAATGCTTCTTTCTTTTTATTCTTTGTGTCTCTCTTTCTCCTAGGTTCATGATTACCTCCGCAGCAAGCTGTGCTCCCTTTATGAGAATGATTGCATTTTTGATAAATTTGAATGTGTATGGAATGGGTCAGACAGGTAAGGAGTTATACGCAGGATTATTGTTTGTTTGTTTGTTTTCATTTTCTGATTCCTCAAATCCATCCACTTTTATCTTTTCAGCACTTTGCTTCTTCATGCAGTGCAGAAAAGATTAATCTTGCAAATGAAAAAAAAAACATTAAAATTCAGATTTTATTGAAATTTGGACAGGAAGGCCTGAGAAACGTTGTCCATGGGGTTGCGGTGGGTCGGACACGACTTTGCAACTAACAACAACAAAGTCTCATGACTTGTTCAAATGTCAGCTCTTCTTTTTTTTTTTTTTTTTTTTTTATTGAAAGTTTTATAAATTTTACAAAAAAGGAAAAATAATACAAAACAAGAGGCAACATATACAGAAAAATAAAACTAAACAATACATATATTAAATAAAAAAAAAAAACCCCATCCCCCAGCCCTCCCCAAAAAAAAAAAAAAAACCCTCCCTTCCCCCCCCCCGAGCTTCCCAGAGCAGAATATAGGCTTAAAAAATAAAAATAAAAATTAAATTAAAAACTTTATATTTATATATATAAAAAAATTATCTATAATATATATGAAAATAAAACTTATGAAAAAACTATATAATATTTTTGTATACCCAATCTAAATTGTATAAATTTTATCCATTTATCCCAAACAGCAAAAAACTTCTCTTGCGTTTGTTGCTTTAAGAAAGCCGAAATCTTTGCCATTTCTGCCAGATAAGCTACTTTAAGAAACCATTCCTGCAATGTAGGCAAAGATTCCTTCTTCCAGTATTGTCCTACTAACAGCCTAGCGGCTGTGATCAAGTTTAACATCAATACAACCTCCTTTGTATCACAATCTGTAACAATACCTAACAAAAATAATTGCGGAGTAAATTTTACCCTCCTTCTAAAAATTCTCTGGATATTCCACCATATTTTAATCCAAAATGCTTTTATCTCTCTGCATGACCACCAAATATGATAATAGGAAGCCTCCTTATAACCACATCTCCAACATTTGGGTTGCACGTCAGGATACATATAAGACATTTTTTGTGGATCAAGGTGCCATCTATAAAACATTTTATAAAAATTCTCCCTTAAGTTCTGTGCTTGAGTAAATTTGACATTTCTCACCCAAATAGTTTCCCAGGTGTCCAATGAAACTGGCTCACCAAAATTCTGCGCCCATCTAATCATACAATCTTTAATTAGTTCCGTTTCTGAGTCCAATTCAACTAAAACCCCATAAATTCTCTTAATGTGGGTTTGTCTTTGATCCTTCAGTTGCTTAATAAGATTTTCATCTTCTCTAAGAAAACCCACCTTACAATCCATCTTCCATCTATCTAGTAGTTGCCTATATTGGAACCAAGAATAAGTAAAATTTTCTTGTGCTAATTCTTCCCGTGATTTTAATTGCCAGTTTTGTCCATCCCATTTAAGTAACTGTCTATAAGACACCATATCCATTTTAACCCCTCTTTTTATTCCTTCTATCGCATGCCAAGGTATAGCCCATAATGGTACTTTAAAATCACTTTTATAATATTTTCTCCAAATCCTAAGTAAAGAAATTCTTAAAATATGAGATTTAAAAGCCCAATCTATTTTTTTTATTAAATATTAAATAGGCATGCCACCCATAAAGTAAATCCCATCCCTCTAAGTAAAGTATCTCAGAATTTGTCAAATTTACCCAATCACTAATTAATGTTAAAACCACCGCATCATAATATAATTTCAAATTTGGTACCTTAAGTCCACCCCTCTCACGGAAGTCTTGCATAATTTTAAACTTAACCCTTGGTTTTTTCCCTGCCCAAATAAATTTGTTGAGACCCTTCTGCCACTCATTTAAATTAATCTCATTTTTCAAAATTGGTAACATTTGAAACAAAAAAAGAAACTTGGGTAGAATATTCATTTTTATCACTGCAATTCTTCCCATGAGGGATAATTGCAACTTTTCCCAATTCTTCAAGTCCTTCTGTACCCTGACCCACAACCTTTCATAATTATTTTTAAATAATTTTGCATTAGAAACAGACAGCATCACCCCCAAATATTTTACCTTATTAACAATCTCAAAACCCGTCAAGTTGACCAAAATCTGCTTCTCCTGACTCGACATATTTTTAGGTAAAATTTTAGTCTTATTTACGTTAATCTTAAAACCCGAGACCAAACCATAATGATGAATCAACTGTAATAAGTTTACTACAGAATAATCAGGTTGCGACAAAGTAACAACCAAGTCATCCGCAAAAGCTCTCAACTTATATTCTTTTTTATTAACATATATTCCTTTAATTTCCTGAGACTCTCGAATTTTGATCAATAATATTTCCAATGTTAAAACAAACAACAATGGCGATAAAGGACACCCCTGTCTAGTACCTTTCTCTATTGTAAAAACCTCCGACAAACCTCCATTAACAATAAGTTGTGCCGTTTGTTTTTGATATATTACCGTAAGGGCTTGTAATATCTTTTCACCAAAATTCATTTCTTCCATTACTCTTAACATAAAATGCCAATTCAATTGATCAAATGCTTTTTCAGCATCTAAAAATATGAGCCCTGCAGGAACTTGGTTGTTCTTGTCTAAATATTCTAGTAAATTAATAATTTGTCTGACATTATTTTTCATATACCTTCCTGTTATAAATCCTGATTGATCTTTATGCACAAGATGATGCACCACCCTCATAAGCCTATTTACCAAAATTTTTACAAATATCTTATAATCCACATTTAAAAGAGATATAGGCCTGTAATTTTTTGGTAAGGTAAGATCTTGATCCTCCTTTGGAATCAATGATATAAAAGCACTACGCCATGAAGGAGGAATCTCTAAACCCTGTAAAATACCATTAAAAAGATCATGTAATGGTTGGATCATCTCCTCTATTAGAACTTTGTAATAAACAGCTGTTAACCCATCCGTACCCGGTGCTTTCCCTAATTTCAATTGTTGAATTGCTGAGGTAATTTCCTCCTTAGTAATTAAACCATTAATTTCATATTTCTGATCCTCAGTCAGTTTAGGAAAACTTGCCTCAGCTAAATATTTATTTATATCTAGCATTTGTATATTAGTAGATTTATATAGGTTTTGATAATAATCCAAAAAAGATTTTTTAATCAATTCCTTCTGAGAAACTAATTTACCCTTATAGTTTATTTTCTCTATTATTCTTTGTCTCTGTTTCTTTCTTAATTGATAAGCCAACCATCTCCCAGGCTTATTGGCATTACAAAATGTATTTTGTTTCATAAATAATAAGTTGGTTGCAGCTTGGTCTGCTATCAACATATTAAATTGTGACCTTAATAACTTTACAGATTCTTTAATACTCTCATCAGAAGGATTTAAAATCAAAGCCCTTTCTTTTAATTTAATTTCATCTTCAAGTTCTCTACGTTTCTGAATCTGATTTCGCTTATAAAAATTATTCATTTTTATCAAAACACCGCGCATAAATGCTTTACCTGCATCCCATACCATTGACATTGAAGTCCCCTTATACATATTCAAAGCAAAATAGTCCTTTAAACACTCCTTTAGTTTTTGAACATTCTTCTCTTGTCTAAACAAATTTTCATTAACTCTCCAGGATCTTCTTTCCTCTTTCTCTTGAATCAGCTCCATCCAAACTGGACTATGATCCGTCAGTGATCTAGGAAAAATCTTTACATTCTTTACTTTATTATACAAATCCGTGGTAATCAAGAAAAAGTCAATTCTTGAAAAAGATTGGTGTCTGTCAGAAAAAAAAGTAAAGTCTCTCTCCTCTTGATTACGTTCCCGCCAATAGTCCCTTAATTCCCAGTCTTCTTTCATGTCAAAAAAGGCTTTAGGTAGCCTTGCTTGTTTAAGAAAAGGAGAGGAACCTTTCTTATCCCTTAGTGTATCTAAGACACCATTCCAATCACCCATTAATACCACTGATCTATAATCAAGCAAAGTTATTTTTGATGTAACTGTTTATAAAATTGTTCCTGTTGTTGATTTGGAGCGTAAAGTCCAACTATAAGTACTTTCTTACCATATATACCAAGTTCAATCATCACATATCTCCCCTGGGGATCTGATTCTACCAGACAAGCTGGTAGGTTTTGTTTAACATATATAACAACTCCCCCTTTCTTCCCAGGAGCAGGAGATATAAAATGATATCCCAAACGAGCATTAACTAAATATTTCTGGTCTTTAAGTAAAATATGAGTTTCCTGTAGACAAATAACATCATTGGTATGTTGCTTCAAATAATAAAAGATTTTTTTCCGTTTCTGAGGAGAATTCAATCCATTAACATTCCAGGTCAAAAACTTTGCCATCTCCCTTGGCACGCAGCCTGGAGAAGACACCATCAAAATCTGACAGAGCTGCGTGTGTTGCATAACTCTTGGGTCTTGCTCCTCCCACCGGCGGTGAAGCACTTCCAGGAGAACTCTCTTTGGGCTCTTTTTTACGTTGCTCCTTCTCTTTACGCTTATAGGCTGCACGAGTCATCCTCTGCTCTTTAGCCTCCGTCTGGCGTTGCTTTGCCGCTTCTATCATCCCTGCGGAAACCAAATCTAATGCCTCAGATTGCTGCTCAGCTTCCTTACCACTCAAAGATTTCCGACCAGATGAAGTTGAGCCTGCACCCAGGACCGAAGTATAAAAATCTCTAGCTTTATCAACTGTGTTCAATCTGTAGCGTGTCCCAGCATGGCTCAAAACAATACCCATCGGAATTTCCCATCTAAATGGCATCGATCTAGCTTTAAGCTCATTGGTTAAAAAAGCAAAGTCTTTTCTACTTCTTAAAATTTTGGATGGGATTTCCTTTAGAATGATGACATCTTGGGCGGCAATCTGAAATCTTTTGTTGTAAAAGGCTTGTATAATCTCATTCCGCAGGGACTTCTTTGTAAAGTAAATCACCACATCTCTAGGCAAATTCTTCTGCTTAGCAATCCAGGAGTTGAGTCTATAAATTTTTTCCACTTCTCTCTGTAATTCTCCTTTATCCATATCCAAGGCCAGCGCCAGATCAGTAAGGACCACCTCCACCAAATCTTGATTGATATCTTCCTTGAGGCCTCTAATCCTCAAGGCATACTCCATCTGTCTGTACTGAAACATCAAAATATCTTCTTGTGAGGAGTCCACCTTCCTTTCCACGTCTTGAATTTTATCATCCAAAGAGTCAACTTTGTCTTCCACTTCCTCAAGCCTTGCGTCGAGCTTAACCACCACAGTAGCCAAACCTGAAACAGCTGCCAATATATCTTGTCGTAGTTCATTATTGTTTTCTTGCAATTTAGACTTTATCCCCGTTATCTCTTCTTTGAGATCAGATTTAATTTCTGATTTAATCTGTGAAACAAATTGATTCATTTCCTCTCTCATTTGAACTACAATCTCTCCCATTATGCCTCTAACCTCTTGTACTGAAAGTCCAGGTAGAGGAGGGGAGGGTGGTGGCTGAGCCGGTGGTACATGTTTAGATTGTTGTTGTAGCTGTGCAGTGGAAGTTATAGGAGAAGAAATAACCTTAGGTGCTGAGGAAGGCTGCTGCCTCTTTGAAGCCATTTTAAAAAGCACAATTGTCACTTCCCTTTCCCCTCCAGCCAAAAAGGGAGGAGGAAAGAAAAAAAAAAAATTTTTTTAAAAAGAGACAAACTATAGTCATTAAAAGTCCAGAGTAAATCCAAAGAATAAGTAGTAAAAGAGCAAACAGTTCAAAAGAAAAAATTCTAAACCAAAAGCAAAAGCAGAAGCAAAAAACAGTCCTTAGAAAGGGAAAGTAAAACAAAAGAGAAAGGAAAAAAAACTCCGACAGTTTCAAAACGCCATCTTAAATCCTTTCACTAGTATAACAAAAAAAAGGAGGAAAAATAGTAAAAATCAAAAGATAAAAAAATAAACACCTAAAATATAACAAAAAATCCTTTAAACTGCTCCGTCCGTTTAAAAATTACTCACCAAAATGCTGTAAACACGGAGATAGAAGCGGCGGTTTCTTTTGCTTCCTAGGAAGCAAAAACAGCTGGGAGGCGGAGATCAGCAAGAGCTCCGAGGGAACACTCCTTTCACCCCCTCTAGAAATAAATCCAGAGGGGGTTCAGGGGTTCTACCTCTACTCTTGCGTTCTCTGTCCCTTCCCTTTGCCCGGGAAGGGATTTCCGAGCCGCGGGCCAGCTGATGCGCGCTGCGCTCCGCGGCTCTGACACTTCCCCAGCTGGACGGCTAAAAGCTAGCCGCCATCGCCGTCGCCTCCCACCGGAAGTTTTCGTCAGCTCTTCTTGTCATCCAGAAAACTAACATTAGACATATAAAGAAAGGCTGCAAGCAATCTGAAGAGAAGTTACTTGAATTAAGATAGCTGAATGAGTACTGCTATGTTGGGCCAAGCCTACAGATCCCAAAAACCTGATCAGCAGAGGACTGATAATGAAATGAGCTGCACACAATGATGCCAGCCTATTAATGTTCTTATAGTACATAAGCATTGTGATGAGCTGTGGGTTTTTTTAAAATGCAAAGTAACTTTCACTAACTGACATAAATTAGAATTTCTAAAATAGCTAGGCATGCAAAGCCAAGATTTAATTGGCTCCATTTATGAAATAGAAATGAAATTAAAATGACCTATATAATTGTTGCTTAATTCTTCCTTGGAAACTATGGCTAATGGAATTAGGATTTTTCTTTTTGTCAACATTATACTTTCAGCTATGGACAATTAGAAAATTAAAAAGTAATTCAAATATTACTCATTTGTAACATAAAATTAAGCATGAAATTAACTTGCCATTGTAATTAGTTTTTACATTTTCAGTCTAAATATTAGGCTGCAGGATCTGTGGACAGGAGTATTTCTCTGAATCCACCAGTCCCAAGAACGGCCCTATTTCTAAGGGATGGTGCTGCACTGGGATCCTTCCTTATTTGCAAGCAGCATTCCCCTTGATCTAAATATTTATGGGGGCAACCAAGCCAGCTGTTGAATTTGCTGAAGCTTTTAATTGGATCCATGTATCATCATTCTCTTTTCAGGTGGTTAGTGCTTATTTGACTGATCATTATTCTGATATTTAAGATTTTTTTGAAAAAGTCATCATCCTGCATTTTGTGAATTGGGACAAACACACGAAATAATGATAAGAAATGAGATGACTTCCAGCAACTGTCCCCATGCCACCTACCAAAGTGTGGTCCAATTTAGCTATCTTACCTTACTATAAATGGAAATTGCGGGAATGAAGAAGGAAGACTTCTCTCATTGCATAAATGCATTAGCTGTAACTGGCCTAACTACCAATGGTGATTATAGTCCCCCTTTAAGTTGACATTTATAGAGCCAGCAAATTGCCTCCTGACCTGTTATTCTATCCCTCACTGCTTTGGGGTTTCCCAAGAAAGGAAATAAAGGTAAAGATAGGTTTCCCCTGTCCAGTCTTGCCTGACTCTAGGGGGCAGTGCTCATCTCCATTTCTTAGCCAAGGGAGCCAACATTGTCCCAAGACATTTCTGTGGTCATGTAGCCAGTATGGCTATACGACAAGATGCACGGAATGCTGTTACCTTCCCACTGAAGTGTTACCTATTTATCTACTCGCATTTGCATGCTTTCGAACTGCTAGATGGCAGGAAAGCTGGGGTAAGTGACAGGAGCTTACCCTGTCATGTGGCGCTCAGGTCTCAAGCCAGGGCTGTCAGCTTTGTAGCTGACAAGCTCAGCATCATTAACCACTGAGCCATCACACTGCCTAAGAGAGGAAGGAGATATGGTAGGTATTTTTTAAAGCTGGATCTGTCCTGAAATGGGATGTGGTTGAGAGAAGAAGAAAAACTAAAAAGATTCTAAATTTCACTGGACTTTTTTTTTTTTTCTCAGCGTCATCATGACTGGCTCCTACAACAATTTCTTTAGAATGTTTGATCGCAATACCAAGCGTGATGTGACTCTTGAAGCCTCAAGAGAAAACAGCAAACCCCGTGCCATCCTGAAGCCTCGCAAAGTTTGTGTTGGGGGCAAAAGGAGGAAAGATGAAATTAGCGTGGACAGTCTGGACTTTAGCAAAAAGATCCTGCATACAGCTTGGCATCCTTCAGAAAATATAATAGCAGTGGCCGCAACAAATAACCTGTATATATTTCAAGACAAGGTTAACTAGGAGGGAGAAAGGATGCTCCTTTGGGAATCTAATATTCTGGAGATTAGCAAACAAAAGTTTTTTTTAAAAAAAAATTGTCCTGTTTTCTTCTTCTCGTTTTGTTTTTTGTTTTTTGTTTTTTTTCATCATTCCTCTGCAGACACTAACTGTGTAGAGGTAAACTCTCAGATTCCAACATTTATTGCTTTCCCCCCAATATAAAGAAATTGGATGGCAAAGCAAATTAGGAACAGTTGAATTTTAAGTAATTAAAGCGACCAAGCTGCTACCACAACAGTGAGCTTGAAATCTGTATGCTTTCATTTCCCCAGTAGTTACTGATAAATTTAATTCCTTTACAAATATAATTTGTAATCTAGAACCAAAGTAAGATTACTAAATTATATTTATGAAAAAAGAAAACAAAACTCAGCCAAGGCCATGAAACAAAGATGCATTGGATTAAGCTATCTCTTTTTTTAAAAAAATTACTTGGAGATTTTTCTTTTGTTTTACATTGTTTGGAAACAGGAATTAAGATACCCGTTGGTTCATTTCTTGTAATTGATCATTTACCTTTTTAAAGTGGTGTGTTCCTTTTATTAACTCAGGGCCTTTCCAGATGATCATTTATTGTGCGCATTTACCACACAATGAATGTTTTCCTGTAACTCAGTTCTTGTGAGAGATAAATCTTTTTTTTTTTTTGCCCCAGATTGCACATTGGATTAAAAATAACATAACAACATAAGGTTGCAGCCTGTAAAAACACCATCTTCAGGTTTTCACCCCTTCCACAAAGGACTCACTGCCTTGAAAGTGCAGTGAAGTCTAGGTGCACAACTCTCATTGTCACCTGTTGAGTAGTGTCTGTGACATCAGAGGTGACCTATGATCCGTCTTCACTTTGACCATGTCACTAACTTACTTACATTAGGAATAGATGAAGACCATTAAAGCCACACTAACCCACCTAAGGCTTTCTGACTTCCTTCTCTTTGTCTTCTTCCTTTACCTATACTTCTGTTGATTCCGGGTCCAGCATTGATGCAACCGTCCTTTTTTTAAACAAACAAGCAAAAGCAAAAACAAAAAACCCAAGACTTATTTTTTAAAATTTAGGAATTAGGTAAACTTCCCCAGTGATATCCTGCCCTATCCCATCCCACTCAGCAAAGAAGAGCTGTTTCCCTTCCACAAATGCAAATTCTCTTTTCACTGCATTTGGACAGGAGACTGCACTATTCTTGCTGAATGCAGGCTAATGTAACTTTATTCTAAAGGCCAGAAAGCCCCATTTTCTTATCTGGAAAGAGCCTCAGACAGGAAAAACAAAGGCAAGTCAGAAAGACCAGGTTTGCCGCAGGAACATTTTGACTCGTCATTCATGAAAGGGGCAGGAAGGCTACCACTAGCTGCAACCTGCCGTCACAATTCCCCACAAATGGCCTCTGATGGATTTGGCTGAGTCAATCCTTTGGTGCCTTTTGATGGTATTCAAAATACCTTAAACGCAATGCTTCCAAAATGTGGTATTTGCAAACCAAATTGAATCTGAGCTTTCTTCTGCAATTCCTGCAATTTTATTTTGTTTTTGTTTTTTGTTTGTTTGTTTGTTTTAAATGTTTTAGTTCTGATTTGCTTTGGATAAGAAAACTCAGAACAGTTCTCTTTTAATCTCTTGCATGTCATAAATATATATGTGTTGATGGGGCAGACCCCTTTTTTCTTCTAGTCGTATATTTTTTAAAGTATTGTTTGTTTGTTTATTTATTTATTTATACCGTCATTTTTTTCCCTTTCTTTTTGAGAGAGAAAAAAAGAACTCTTTAGTTAAAACTGTATGGCTTTTAAAAGAACTCAAACAAAAATAACCACCAAACCATCTTGTAATGCTATTATTATTATTATCCTTAGCACTCGGCTGCTTTTCTAAGAGAGGTTGCCCATAGATGGGCAGTATGAAGATTTAACTCAAATAGCTCTTCATCTTTGCATGGTAAACTGTCCAGTTCTAATACAAGGATAATGCCGGTCCTGCCTTCATTTGATCAGTTTGGGAGGTAAAAAAAAGTGGGGTGGTGGGTGGGATTGGAGGGGGAAAAAATCAAATAGCCAATTCTACAAAAAATAAACTTAATTCTTTCTCTAACAAAGGCAGGTATTAGAAGATCAATGTGCTTTGCATTTTTCTGATTGTAAAAACTTTTGTGATGGTTGCGGTGAAGCATACAAGAATTCCCGGATACGTTTTTTGGTAGAATGATTGAAAAAAAAAAACCACTTTTTTTCCTGATCTGGGCTACCAAGGCTTTCACTTTATAAATGAAATTGTGACCACAGATTTATGAAGAAGATATCACATTTGTGTGGTTATCCAGAACACTACAAGGGAGGGGACATGAAAATCCTGGAAACAAGAGGAAGTTTAAACATTTGGAACCAAATTTTTTCACTAATATACCACTTGCAACCTTGTCCTCTCTTCATAAGACTGATGAGGACATGGTTACATTAGTGGTTTTGCCTTGTTTGAAGGAGTGATTACAGGACAAAAAGTATTTGTGGCTTATAAACTTATGGCAAGTAAACGGCTTTCAGAAGTAGCCTCTTTTTTGTTTAAAGAAAAATGATTTAAAAAATTGATGGGTCATTTTTCTATAAAAAGAAACAAAAATAACAAGCCTACATTCTGGTACCAGAAGAAGCATTTTTGCCCAAGTTGCTCTGATGTGAAGCTACCCATTATTAAATGTTGAGCAATTCAGTTCAAAGGTCTGGCTGAACCCCAAGCGTTGTCTAGATCAGCCTTCCCCAATCTGGTTCCCACGTTTGAAGAGTGGCAGTTTGGGAAAAGCTAATTTAAATATAGAACTTCTGACATCGTTTAATCTCACATGTGCTCCTATGAAGAGAGAATAAAGGTGATGTGTTTTATGGAAAGTAGTGTCTTTGCTGAATGCCAGAGTAAATCGAGCATTTAGCCATCTTTGGAGCAGCGCTCAGACAGCATTGGTTAAAGGGCAGTCATCCCTCAAGGTTTGTCAGCCAAATCTGGTATTATTTTTATTTACTTATCATGTTTTATGGCCGTTCATCTAGGAGTTTGGGCAGTGTACAAAAGTAAAATTCTTATAAGGAAGTCAGCGATGGCGTATCAAACATAGTTATGAACCAGAGAAGGCTATGGATGTTTGCAAAGGGTTCCTCGCGCTCTTTGATTTTAGTTCTTCTCACTGTATTATAAACTACTGTTGAATCTCTTAAGCATTTTAAAATACCTCATCAAACACCGCACTGCTCCTGTTAGAACATTATACATCCAACTGCCTGGAAAGAGCTTACAGGAGAATTCTATGATCCATATTATGCATGTATTCCCTGGGTGGTCCTGTTGCAATGTAGTCATTCACATTGTGTTTCATCATGCACAGTTGGATCCAGATTGCCTCAGATTATCTTTTTTCTTTCAAGGGTACCCCGGAGAGCGTAGCACACAGAAACACTCAGGGACCATGAAGCTGTTAAATTATTGGACTAGGGTGTTAAGGATTTTGAAAATCAATTCACATTTACTTTTCCTTCCTGTGATAATGCCCAAACTTGGTATAGAGCAGGGGTCTTCAAACTTGGCTGTTTTATGACTTGTGAACTTCAACTCCCAGAATTCCTCAGCCAGCGTGCCTGGCTGGGGAATTCTGGGAGTTGAAGTCCACAAGTCATAAAAGGACCAAGTTTGAAGACCCCTGATACAGAGGACCTGGTCCTTTTCCATATGCTGGCTAAAGATAGGGCTTAACTTTTTCATTTATTAAAAAGGTTCTTAACATCAGGCACATTCAACAGAGATAGTTTACAAATTAAGTGGGCATTTCTGGTACCGTTGAGCGCATGTGAAACCCAAAAATCTGCTCCATAGTGTATGAGATTACAACAGATGAGGACAAACAATATTATCCCACAGTGTACTAAAGGTCTTCAGCTTTCTTGATGCTTCAAAGAAGCAAAAAAACTAAAAACAAATCTGGAAGAGGAAAAAAATACCCCAGGTTGAGAATGTTATGCCCTCCAAAACATGCAAGATAGAAGATTTCTTGTATACTAGAACATCAGCCTAGAATACATCACAGGTTCGTGCTTTCCAGATGCTTCATGTCTGCAACTCTTAGAAGACGGTGGAATCTAGATATTCAAGATGTTGGACTCAACCTAACTGGAGCTGCCATATTATAGAAGATGCCTAAAAAAATGGCCTGGAGGAAAGAATCAATTGATCTGGTATAGTCATATGTCTGAAGAGCCATAAGAAAGCAGAGGATAATCCCAGAGACTATGATTATGGTTCTTAAAGCTATAAATATGGTTTCTAAGAGAAACCTGTCAACCTATCACCTAAGTGAAAGACTATTCTTGTATGGCAGTATTATAAAACCTCATAATTTCAAATGGCTCATGGTTGTTGTAATTATGTTTACGTTTGACTACTAGCTTTGTTTGTTTTAAGAATTTCAAGTAATTTGATAAAAACTGGTGAAACACAATGAAGACTTTTGGGGGTTTTAATATTGTGTCTAGTTCACATACTACTATAATTTATATAGAAAAACCTGTTATTTTTTGCTTTATTTCTTGAATTTATTCCCAAAATAACACTCAAGCCCACTAATAGTAAAAAATAAAGTGGGGACAGTTAGAAACAGGATAAAAATGCTCTGTGGTTGGTGAGAGAAGGTTATGAGGAACAAGCTTTCTTGTTCTGCCTATGATGGCAAAAACATATCTCTTTACTGTTGAAAATTTTTATCTGGATCACCTTTGCACCAGAAACTCTAATTTATAATTACATAAATGAATTATTCTTGGTCTACCAAGTACAACCCCAACATATTTGGGGTGCAGCTTGGCTGATTTCCTGAATACCTGCAACAGGGCAACAGAGATCTTCAAGAAGTGTATTATGGAGACACGTGGATGGTTTTGCTGGCTGTCTTACAAAATGTGGGAGAACAATGTGGCATGATTCCTTGTTACAAATAGGCATCCATAAAGACTCCCCAAATCATAACAAGTCACAGTCAATACTAAGTTCACTGAAGCAAGAAACATTTTTCATCCTAGTTATAACCCCAACAGCCCAGCCTCAGCACTCAATATTTCCCATAACAAGGCTATGTGAACCTGTGATCTAAATCTCTGAAAATGAAGAGACCAAAATTTCCCCTTTGAGTTTGTTGGGGCCAGTTTCCTCAAGTCCCGCATCAGGAGTGCCTTTCTAAACAACTCGAGATCGACAGTTCTAATTAATGGGGTTGCCAGTTAGCACATTTCATTGGTGAAAGAAGTTAATTGTAGGTTTCTCTTGTGTCTTGTATTCATCTCCTAAAAGATAGAAATTTGGTTTCAATGTATCAGGAAAAATGAAGATTAATAAATGAAACCTTCTCCCAGCTTGGATTGATTGATTGATTTGATCTGCACATCAAAAAAAAAATGTTTTTCAGAGAACTGTAGTTTATCATAAAAGAAAAGGCACTGAATGAAATAAAAATCAATTCTACAATACAGATCATTACTGCAAAATCTTGCGAAACCACAGGCACTTTGTTTTCTTTTATGCTAATCTGAAAACATAATTAAAAATATAGAAAAGGTTGTATTCAAAATCTTATTTTACTATAACTGAAACTTCCCTATTTCATAATATCTTGTATAGTTTTCTTGGCCCATTTGCTGAATCTTTTCTGAATGAAAGTCCTGAAATAAAAACTGATTTCACAAGGCACAAACTGGAGATAATCTATGGAGTTTGCTCCTTCAAAATATGATCACACCGAAATGTCCATCACATCATTCCACATCAAAATTTAATGCTCGTGCATCTTCTTGAAACTGATAAACAATGTCATACAACAGTATATCCTAACATAAAAATAAATGGACATATGTTTTCATTATGCAATTTCTTTGGTTTCTATTACAAAAAGAAGGAAAGAACTTTTGCAAGTAATTGTAGACAGAATAGAGCAAGAGAAGAAAGAAAGGAAAGAAAAAGAGAAAAAGAAAGAATGCTAGATAATTGAGAGGTGATAAATATCAAAGTTTTTAATAGGTAACAAGGAATAGAGAAAATGTGTGGTCCTGCTTTTCATACAGCCAAAACTATATGAATGTGTTTTTTTTTCAATAACAGACCTCTACTAAATCAGGCAATTTATCCACATGTTTTTCCATAATTTTGCCCTGCTCTACTATGCACCTGGGTCTAGGACAACTTGCCATGTCTGACTTGCTGCGGCCAACACAGCATAGCCCAGTGATGGCGAACCTTTTAGAGACTGAGTGCCCAAACTGCAACCCAAAACCCACTTATGCATTGTCGAGTGCCGGTGGGTGTGGCCCATTGGGTGGGCATGGCTGCAGTGGTAACGGCAGACTGGGTGGACTAAAAAGTTCAATCAATCCCAACTTTGCAAGATCTTTTTTTCCCGCGAGAAGTTGACTGATTGAACCTTTTTTTTTTTTTTGCACACGGCAGCAGAGGCCTAAAGCGAAAAGGTTTTATAAAACCCAGCTGAAGGCCTAGGACTGGGGCGACGGTGCAGGGGCCCACAGAGAGGTCTCTGAGTGCCACCTCTGGCATAGCTAATCTGCTGTAGCCAACTTATCGCAGTCAACTTGCTGCAGGATAACTAACCATGACCAACTCACCATGGGACAACTTTCCATGTGGGACGAGACTTACACTAATATATTGAAGAAATGGTAGAATAGAATCATTAAAGAAAGGATGCCAAAGGAGGGACGAAATGAAATGTGGATGACAAAAATTAAAATAATTTTCTAAGAATTTTAAATAAATGAATTGTTGGATTGTCCCACTGCAAATTGTTTCACAGCAAGTTGGCTGTGGTGAAATTGAGATTTGAAAGAAAACAGCAATTCATTGGTAGAGTGTATATGCACAGCTTGGAAAATATTCTCTGGCATCTTTCTTTATTATAAGCCAGCAGTCCCCAACCTGCAGTGGCAGCGGTGGGGGAGGGGGGGAAGGGGATGGTTTCGGCCACTCAAACTAGCTTCCATACATGTGTAAATGAAGACTTGCACACTCACCTGCCTTGAATGGCCCAGTTCTAGTGGTGGGATTCAAATATGTGAACAATAGGTTCTCTGTGTGGATGCAGCTTCCAGAAGTCCTTTCTGGGCCTGGGCAACAAAAAATTAGCTACCAATTCTGCTGAACTGGCGCGAACTGGCTGAATCCCACCACTGCCCAGTTCCCAATGGGCCGCTGACTATTGGGGACCCCTGTTACAAGCAGCCCAACAAATTGAAGGGACAATATTTGAATCAGAGAGTATTCGATTTTATTCAAGTGCTCTCTAACATTCAATGTTGGCATTCAATTGCAGAAAAAAACACACATAATTTTTACCAAGTGCCATTTATCTTCCAGTGACACTAAACCATGTACAGTATGTTCTGCTGAAGCAAACAGATTATTAGGAGTAAATATGCATTTCAGTGAAAAGGATATACTGAGAAATATTCCTTTTGTGTTTCATGAAACAGCAAAATTGGCTTTTTGTCTTCGTCAGCATGCTTACTCCTTCCTAAAGGGGAAAAATAATCACAGGTGTTATCCAGCTTGTGCAGCACCATAATGAAATACTAGACACCCTTCCCTTCCAAATTCAGATTGCAGTGCCTAAAGGAAAAGGTGTGCATCCGACTGCCAAATATAATGAGCTCAGAAATTCCCGTGCAGCATGATATTTACTACAAAAAATGGCAACAACAACAATAATACGAAAACCCTTCAGGAGCCTGTTTTGATACACTTTTATCAAAGGAATCCGTAAATGAAACAAGATCGATAATGGCTTGGTTATTACAAATCTTAAAATAAGATTAACAAAAAACTTTAGGGAGATTGTATGCCTGGTGGTGGGGGGCATGTGTTAGTTAAAGAATCTACAATGTAAGAAGCACTATTTCCTGGAAGAAAAGGCAGAGAGTGTTCTAGTTTGTCCTATTCAACTCTTAACTTCTTCTGTCATTAACAAATGGGAAATCTACTGTACCACTATGGGATTGTTTCCTACTCTGGCACCCTATATTGAGAAGGAAGGAGCTTTGAACTTCAAATGACATTCAGATGACATTCAAACCTTCACTTCTCCCTCTTATCTCACAACATCTTATGATCTCTGAGCCACTCTCCCAGATTGGAGTAGTCATCAATACATACTCTGTTCTTTTCAGGGATGGTTTAAAAATAGTCCTCAAGGTTACCATAAATTTAGGCCCTTGCCAGATTTGAATTAAAACATTTTGCAAAGTGCTCCTGTACCAGTCTAGGCAAGGTAGCCCACATGTTTAGAGCATTTAAAAAACCCCCCTAAAACTTTATAGCCTCTTTGCTTATTATATAAGTGATTTATACTATAACTGTGACTAGAAGCCTTGAAAATAAGCTATGCTGGGTTCCTTGTGGGCAAATGAAAATATGGTATGAGTATAGATAATAGAGTTGGAAAGTGAATGATAGCCTATACTTCTGGAATTCTGGTTTCATCTTTGGTCATCATTAAATATACCACAAAAAATAACTATGATGATTGTGTTTGAGACAACAACCTTAAAAGGATAATAGCTAAAGTACAGCAATGTTTTGGGATGATAATTTAAAATTATCTCTTTATTACACTCTTCAAGCTCATAACAATAATAATGTTATTATTATTAATAATAATTTATTATTATGTATTAAATGATTTATACTATAATATAATAATTTTAGGAAAATAATAATTTTATGGACACAACCCTTTGCTTATTGTACACAAACTTATTTTTATTCATAGCTAGTAAGAACATTTTCAGTTTTATATATTGGAACAGAGGGAAGGAAAGTCCAGAGCTGGATTTAACTGATGTTTATCAATAAAGAATTTTAATAACCTTTTGTCTGTGCCATCAGATGAGTGATGTCTCTAAGCATATATAGGCCTTCTCCACCATAATATTGTCTATGCTTGTTGTTTTCTTGGTAAAATGTAGGAGCTGTCACTGTTGCCATCTTCAATGTAATGTAAAATTACTGTGTTACCGTTTTAATGAAAATGATCATCCATTTCTACCATCTTCCTATGTCACTGCTGCCTGATATGGATAGCTGCTTGCATTAGCTGGATAGCTGGGATGGTCTTCATTCTTTGGATGATCCTGTGGGTCATATGCAAGAAAGGTCTTTCTTTCAGTAATGAAACTTTAAAACAGACTCCCCTGACACAAATACTGCTATTTTAAAACCTGATTTCAGCATGTGGGCTGGGATTCAGCCCTTCTTTCCTCCCTCTCTCAGGAATGTAAATGCTCCCATGAAATTTATGGACACCTTAAAACTACACCCACTGATTTCAGAACAGGACATTACATATTTTGGGACTCTAGGGGGAAGAGCTGTTTTTCTTTACCAGACCCAAGAAGCGAAGGTATTCAGAAGAACGTTGTGCATCAGGCTAACCTTCAGGATCCATATGAACTATAGCTGGCTTATGGATTAGAGGACACCATGGCTGGTTAAATAACAGTGGAATAGCAATTGCAATGGCAATAGTACTTAGACCAGGGGTGTCAAACCGGCGGCCTGCGGACCAGATGCATCATGTGCAGGCCATGCCCACCCCAGTTCCACAAAAGCAAAAAATGACACGATACATCACTTGACGCGATCGAGTTTGACACCCGTGACTTAGACTTATATTTATATACTGCTTCCTAGTGCTTTACAGCTCTCTCTGAGCAGTTTATACAGTCAGCATATTGCCCCCAACAATCTGGGTCCTCATTTTACCGATCTCAGAAAAATGGAGGGCTGAGTCAACCTTGAGCTAGTCAGAATTGAACTCCTGATAATGAGCAGTGAATTAGGCTGCAATACTGCATTCTAACCACTGCACCTCTATGGCTCTAGAGAATAATTGTGAGCATGAAAATAAAGTCAATTGCGGATATTCTTGATTAGTCAAATTTTCAGAGTGAGCACTACCACTATCTATATTTTTCATTCTACAATTATTCTGTGAAAACAAGCTCTGCATGTTTAAACAGAGGCTTGCCACTGTCATGTCACAAACTGAAAAACCATTTAAGACTTAGGTAGGAAATGTTTTCCTCCTATTCATAATTCTACCTCAGCTACAAGGATGGACACCAGAATTTAAATATTCAACTTAGTAAATTACCTATCAGTCTGTAAAAACAAGAAACTTTAGGGATAAACTATTTTCGTCCCAACGTTCTCAAACAATATTTTAAATCAGTCATAATAGCAATGCAAACATTGTCACCATGTAGTTGTGAGGTGATTTGTAAATTACCATCATTTCTATAGTAAGTAAGGCATAATTCTTCTGTTACGTTCACAAAATGTACAATATGT